CTGCACTAAAATTTATGAGTCCACGAAACACATCAGGGTTGTCCAAATTTTCTGTCTCGTCGTGTCCGCGCGAAGTGCTAATTCGAATATTCCGCAAAATTTTATGCAATCTATGGTTTTAGATAATACATAACGATTTTTCATTACCTGTTCATTGTGTTTCCGTATATTATCCCAATATGCAGAATCTAACTGACTTCTTGTGTTTATTTTACCTAAAGACTTAATGACTTAAATCTTTCACATTGTATATTGTCCATGCTTTATCCCCACCGAAAAGTAAGGACGGAAAACAAAACGGTGAATTTTTTAAATCACATCCGCACACCCACCGCAATAAAAACAAAGGACGCATCTAATTGTTCGCTGTCCACACATTTTGTATATGAGGTTGCATATATTAAGGAGCGTAGCTCGCGTCGCAATAAATAATAATATAAGCTCCTAGATTTATTTTAGAGCGAGTACATTTGGATTCTTTAAATATTTTGTTGATATTTAATATGATTAAATACATAAAATTTTATGTGTTCTGCAACTCCGCAGCTATTATGGTAAAACCGCCACTGCGCGCAGTTATGTCAATATTCCTTAATCGAACTTTTCTACATCAAGTTTTTCTCGGAATGGTTGACTTTAGGACCTATGTCATATAAGGGTTTTTTGTTTATTTTAATGTATTCTATCGTCTGTTTCAAAACTGAAATTTCAAAATTAAACATTTAAGTTCAAATTTATCTGTAATCTAAAATATGATTTTAAAGGTTAAACATATTTTACAAAATTTGGAATTCAAACTAGAAATTTTTACGGAAAATCAAAGTTTCAAGTTGTTGAACTTGAAATTTTTTATTTAAGGAGGTTTATCAGGTACGTCTAAAGTCAAATGAGAGTTTCTGTAGATTCGCTAGTGACTAAAGCCATTAGATTTGGCAACATTGCACTTGGCTGGCGCGTTCGTCTCGGTGTTCCCTCGCTTGCGTTCGATCATTCTGTTTGTTTGGATGCCTAACCTTGAAATATACGTCATATGTCACAGCTGCGAATTTCATATAATACACTACTTTGAGAACCCCGGCGTCGCCGCTATCACGCGCATATGGGGGCTAAGTTAGCCAACGACAGCACTTTGAAGGAGAATTATTATAAATTATGTATCTTTTACAAGCACCTAATCGATTTCTACGAGCTGTCATACAGTTCCTTAGATATCGGTTTCCTATTTATACAAGTTGCCGTGGAAACTGTTCGTCAATTGTTGCGCATTCTCAGTGGCAAGACCAAAAAAATTTGCATAAGATTCCGTACTAAATCGTGAAAAATTATTCTATTAATATCTTGTCTTTTAGGTATCCAAACTAGTCGTAATTTTTTTTTGAGGCTTTTCATATTAACAAGATTATATTAATTTTTTTATGAATATTTGTTTGTCGGTTCCATAACAGATAAACCTTCTTAAACCGAAAACTTCTAGTTTGACTTGGATATTACAATTCCGTGTTTCAAACTTGAAGTTTGGTAAATAATACACAAAATATGTCGATTTTCGTTTCAAGAAACTTTAAGTGACTCCTTATGTTGAGCGATACCTCAGTTTAAAGCTCTTCAATTCTCCTCGCGACGACACACGACTTTTTAAATTTCGGTTCAGATGACAATAAAAACATCACTTATTAAAGAATAAGAAAAGAATGTTACTTTATTTTAATTGGATCAACCTGTTTATATTTTTCATATCGAGTGTTACAAATTATTGTAATTTAACGAATTCGATTGTAATTCCATATTATTTTCGTAATTTTTGTGATGTATTACACAAATGAGGAATAAACAAACGCTTTCCAGGTAAGGACGACGGCCTCGGCGTGGAAAACTTGAAATACGCCGGCATGATAGCGGGTGAGACCTCGGCCGCCTACGAAGAAGTCGTAACCATCTCCATGGTCAGTTGCAGAGCTATCGGCATTGGGTCCTACGTGGTGCGTCTCGGTCAGAGGGTCATCCAGATCGAGAACTCCCACATCATCCTCACAGGTTACAGTGCCTTAAATAAAGTAAGTTTTAAAAAGAGTTATTTGTCGGGGCACGATTTCATGAAAATGTTCCATTTACCGCAGCTACTCGGCAGAGAAGTGTACGCCTCCAACAATCAGCTCGGCGGCATCCAGATAATGTACAACAACGGAGTCACTCACAAAACGGAAAGCTGCGACCTGGAAGGCGTCTACACGATACTGAAATGGCTGTCGTACATACCAAAGGTATAAATTCACCTCATGTCGCGTATTTTCTTTAAAGCCAGTACTAATCGTTTTAGGATAAATTCTCGCCCGTGCCAATATTGAGGCCGGTCGATCCCGTCACGAGAGAGGTCACTTTCACGCCCACCAAAACGCCGTACGACCCCAGATGGATGCTGGCCGGCAGAGAATCGCCAAGTGAGTGCATCGGAAATTTTACATTTTTTTATTTTTTTTTTTTGTAAATTTAATACGGCCCGTTTCCAGACGATCCGAGTATCTGGGAGAGCGGTTTCTTCGACAGGGGCTCCTGGGCGGAGATAATGCAGCCGTGGGCGCAGACCGTCGTCACGGGCAGGGCCCGGCTGGGGGGCATACCCGTGGGGGTCATCGCCGTGGAGACCCGCACCGTCGAACTGACCCTACCCGCCGATCCGGCCAACCTGGATTCCGAATCAAAGGTGAGGGCGTAATTTGGTTTTTATAGACCAATCAAAATTACTCATTTAGAGAGAAAAAAAAGAAAATTGTTACCTGAACTTTTATAAGTGGAAATAGTAAAAGGACTTATAATAAACCTAAATAAAATAAATGCGTGAGCAGGGGCGGCGGAGGGTTGATTTTGGGGGTGGAAAACTTATGAAAAATTGTATCATTGGGATTTCTGGCGAAAGTTGACGTCAGACAAAAAAGTATCGAATACTAAAGTCATAGATCATGCAAAAATCTACAACTTTTGTAGAGGTAATTTTTTAACATAACCTCAAAATTTCTGAGAAAAATGCAAAAAACAGGTTTTTTTCTGATTTTTCGTTTTTTATTTCTCATTTCCGCAAAAATAATTTAATTTTGACGAAACTTGGTGAAAGTATAACTTTCTGTCTTAAATAACCTCAAATTTTTTTAGATATAAAAATCAAGAAGTTTCCGAGATATTAATTTTTTTCGGCTTGAAACACTTTTTTTTCAAAGAAAAATTCTACTTAAAAAAATCATCGTACAGAGTTCTGCTGGTAATCATTGTTTTCGTTTAGAAATATACTTTTTGGTGAAATAAAAAAATCTGTAATAACAGTTCAAAAACATACTCAAAAAAAAAAAAAGTAAAAAATTACTTGCAGCAATGAATTTTTCAGTAATTGTTGATAATTTGTTTAAATTAAAAAAAAATCAAAAACTGTCATTGTTTGACCCAAAACTATTTTTGTACAGTATTGCTATAAATGGAAGTTGAATAGTGAATAAATAAAATAAATAATAATTTTTTTTCCGTAGGATCAATTAGTGTACTTATTTTTTTTTAAGTTTTAAGTGATGAATTCATAGATATACAGTGTGTCCAAGATAAGAATGGGATAGGCATTAGGATCTAGGAAATGGTAAGAGATACGGGGTGGCTTAGATTAGAAAAAAGTTTTTGTTTAGAAAATTTTAAAATTCCGGGTAGTTCCGGAGATATCCGGAAAAACCGGAAATTTTGCAAAATTGTTAAATTTTTTCTAGCTATATTTGAAAACGAATTTTGAAATAAATTGCATATTTACAATGCCACTTTTTTCACTCTATACGATGGCGCAACATTTTTGCAATCCGACGTTTCATCTTCGAGGGGCCATCATCGTGTTAATTTTTTTAAATACATCGCTGCTATTTTTATGACAAAATATAAAGTCATTTTTAATTCTGATTAGAGGATATTACTATTGTAATCGCTTAAAAAGTTTTTAGCTTGTTTTAGCTATCATTTAAAATTTTTCCCGAGTACAGCTCTGAACGCTTTCAAAATATGTATTAGATGAGGTCATAACAGTATAAAAGTCAGTACAGCACAAAATATCCAATATTTTTTTTTTACTACCACTATTAGCAATACTAACTGGAAATAATAAAATATTTCATAAATTCGTATTATTTTTTAATTAGGTACAACTTTTTAAATTATGGATTAAAAAAATTGTTGTATATTTTGTGCTGTATTGACTTTTATTCTCTCCTGTCTCTCTCTCTCTCTGTCCTCCAATAGATACAGGTATTTTGAAAGCATTCAGAGCCGTACTCAGAAAACATTTTTAATGATAGCTAAAAACCTTTTAAGCGATTACAATAGTAATATCATATACAGAATTCAAAATGACTAGATTTTGACATAAAAATAGCAGCGATATATTTAAAAAATTAATCTGATGATGGCCTCTCGAAGACGAAACGTCGGATTGCAAAAATGTTGACACCATTGGATAGAGCGATAAAAGTGACAGTGTAAATATGCAATTTATTTAAAATTCGTTTTCAAATAAAGCCAGAAAAAAAATTAAACAAATTTGCAAAATTTCGGATTTTCGGATTTCGCGTCAACTGTAGACTTTGTAGTTAATACTTTGTATTGCTGAAATCTCAAATCATCCAGAGATAATTTATCATTTGTGCATTTGTAATTCTACTTAGATGTTTTGGGTCAAACAATGACACATTTATTTTTTTTGTTTCTGTAGAATTGAATGGTGTAATTAGGGTTGCCAGATGTGCTCGAAAAAAAAATCGGACAGCATTCCAAAAAAAAACAAATTAAATAAATACATATTTTATTCCACAATGAAAAACAAACAAACAAACAAACAAAACAATATTTATACCTAAGTAAAAAGATGTGAATAACGTTAAAATCTTTTTCATTTTTTAATATATTTTGCATTAGATGCCGCTGCTTTTAACAACTCTCTATTACCTGATATGTTATTTTTGAATTCATAGTGCAAGTACTATTTATGTTAAAGAAAACGCAAAGCTCACATTTTACTCTTTCTACGGAGAGACGATTTCTTCCGTTTGTCCGCGCTGTTGCCGCTGTTACCGTTTTTAGGCAAACATTTTTTCCCAAATTGCAGGATATTTTATGAATTCAACAAAAAAACTGGACATTTGCTTGTCCGGTTTACCAAACTTTTTCAACCGGACAAACATCAAAAAAACCGAACTGTCCGGTCGAAAACCGGACATCTGGCAACCCTAGGTGTAATCAGTTTTTGAATGTTTTTTAATTTCAACAAATTATCAACAATAACTGAAAAATTCATTGCTGCAAGTCATTTTTTATTTTTTTGCATTTTTGAGCATGTTTTTGAACTGTTATTATAGATCTTTTTAATTCACCAAAAAGTATATTTCTAAACGAAAAAAATGATTACCGGCAGAAGTCTGTATGATGAATTTTTTAAGTAGAATTTTTCTTTGAAAAAAATGAATATCTCAGAAACTTCTTGATTTTTTTTATCTAAAAAAATTTGAGGTCATTTAAAACAGAGAAAGGTATACTTTCACCAAGTTTCATCAAAATTAAAATATTTTTGCCGAAATGAGGAATAAAAAACAAAAAATCAGAAAAAAAATCTGTTTTTCGCATTTTTCTCAGAAATTTTGGGGTTATGTTAAAAAGTGACCTCTACAAAAGTTGTAGATTTTTGCATGATCCACAACTCTTGTATTGGATACCTTTTTGTTTGACGTCAACTTTTGCCAGAAATCCCAATGATACAAGTTTTCATAACTTTTCAACCCCCCAAATCAACCCTCCGCCGCCCCTGCCCAATTTCCACTTATAAAAGTCGGGGTAAGAATTTTTTTTTCTCCAAACGTAATTTGGTTGGACTACTAATAATTGCTTTAATTTCACTTTGCAGCAACGTAGAATTTTTTAATAAATTGTCCCATCTTAACCCTTTAATGCCATGATAAAAAATTTTCCTTAACACCTGACGATAGGCCCCTGGTCCATGTTATTATTAAAACGGGAAAAAGTCGGGGATTTTGAAATTAAAAAACCATTTCGACTTGATCCGGGTGTACACTTGAAGCCAACACTAATCCGTAAACGACATTCCAGACGGTGTCGCAGGCCGGGCAGGTGTGGTTCCCAGATTCCTCGTACAAAACCACCCAGGCCATCCAGGATTTCTTGCGGGAGGACCTGCCGCTGATGGTGTTCGCGAACTGGAGGGGCTTCAGCGGCGGCATGAAGGAGATGTACGAGCAGATAATGAAGTTCGGGGCTTACATCGTGGACGGGCTGAGGCAGTACAAGCAGCCCATCATCATCTACATCCCGCCCAACGGGGAGCTCCGAGGGGGAGCTTGGGCCGTCGTCGACCCCACCATCAACTCTCGGTACATGGAGATGTACGCCGATCCCGACTCCAGGTAATTTTTTATCGCGAAACTGGTAAAGATGTGTAAAAACTTCAACGTGAACATTTTTTATTAATCGGTTGTTGAAAATTTGGGTTTCCCCAATTGTTTTCGCTCCAATTTTATAACATACGCTAATTTTTGAGCGGGTTTCAAGATACGGTTGTTGAAATTTAAGAAAAAAATTACACTCTAAAATACAGGGTGATTCAGTCGTAATGTCATTAATTTTAACCGCGTGCTGCAGGGGTGGAGTGTTAGAACCGGAGGGCATCGTGGAGATAAAGTTCCGAAAGAAGGACCTCGTCAAGGCGATCCACCGCATCGATCCGGTGGTGAGGGAGCTGGACGACAGGCTGAAGCAGTTCAACAGCTCGCAGCCGAGGGAGCGTTCGGCCAGCAGTTCGTAGCAGCAGGTGGAGCAGCAGAAACCGCCGGAGATGCTGGAGATCGAGCAGAAGATCCGGGAGAGGGAGAACTTCCTGATGCCGATGTACCACCAGGTGTCGGTGCATTTCGCAGATCTGCACGACACGCCCGAGCGGATGTTGTAGAAGGGCACGATAAACGTAAGTGCTGTTCGATTTGAAAATTTTTTTTTAAACTATTTTAAGTTCTTCTTAAATGAAGTCAATATTTTTGTTGCTCCAACATCCCACTTTGACATATTCGTAGAAATGGCCACGATAGGAAGATCTTACTATTTCCACATTTTACTTGGAATTGTTTAATAAAATTACGTCTTTTATCAATATATAAAAAATTGTTTTGAATTTGCCGTTAAAATATAATAAAAAATATGGCGCAGCTAATAATAGAATACATGTTTTTTTTAAATAAAAAAAAAATGTCATATTTTAGTCCAGTTACTCAGGGTTTTTACCTCCGAATTCTTTATGACTGAACCGATTGCCGTGAAATTTTGAGTGAATGCGGGGATTGCCTCAAGGAACAAAACTTATATAGTGCCGAAGTGTGCTTTTGCCCTGAGGGTGGAAATTTTTATGCCCAAAATAACCACAGGAATCGATAGAGGAGTCAATTTTAAGTAACAAATGTCATATAAAGTTTTTTGGGATAATCCAATACTTTCCGAGTAATTCGTCATTGAAAATGTTGAATTTTTACTGAAAAAGTGCTTGTTTTCGGACAGTTTTTTGCAAATAACTCTGAAACCATTGGATTTAACGAAAAAGTTGTAGAGATGTTTTAAAATCTTATGAGCTATGACCTTCATATGCGCAGAAACATAATTCTGACCGTCGCCTAAATTATTCTACGTCCTAAAAACATTACACCTATTATTCACAGTCTCTCTCGAGCTCTAGCGTAAACAAGCCTTTGATCCGATTACAAATATCATAATAAAATGCCCTATTCTTTATTATTTTAATTTAAACAATAAAAATATATATAACGAACGTTCGCCAGTTGACTTTATTGATGCCCGAGCGCCTTAGTTCATTTCTAGTTGTAATGA